AATGGCTTGGGCACGTGGTACGCATGCCTGAGGAGCGGATGCCGCGGATGTTGTTGTTTGGCACATTGCTGCCACCACGCCCAGCGTGTGGCCCGCGGAAACGATGGCGAGACGCAATTAGGGTCGACCTGCGACGAATAAACATCGCCGACGAGTCATGGTTTGACACAGCGCAGGAACGATCTGAGTGGCGGCAAGCTTATCGAGCAATACAACCAGCTCAGAAACCGGCTCGGGAGATAGTCTGCGAGGTGTGCCGGCGTGCATTTGCTCGGCAGCAAGATATCGCCCGCCACAAGTGCATCATGGAACGGCGTAAACCAGTCCAGCAGCAAGCCAACAGCCGCCAGTGCTCCCAGTGTCACCGATGGTTTCGGAGTGCGGGTGGCATTGCAGTCCATCGCTGTGTCCAGTCCAATTCTGCCCCGAATGATGCCAATGCCACAAGCTCTTCACCTGTACGCCTATGTATTCGGAAACCGTGCTGTACCGCTCACTGTCCCATTTGTGAACGCTGCTGTAAGTCGATCCGGGGCTTTGCTATCCACAACTGCAACCGATCCACCAGGCGCCCAACTGCTGATGAAAGGGACAAGTTCCAATTGCAATGTCAGAATTGCCGGAGGCGTTTCAAAAGGCGAAACGACTTATCCCGTCACCAACGCTCATGTCTCCTCTCGTCTCCGTCTCGCTCAACGAGAAACACGTGACCTACATGGCAGTGTATACCAGGACCAGGACCAGGTGTGTGTGTGTGTGTGTTTGTGGCTGTGTGTGTACATGTACATATTAGGTATCTCGGCGGTAACGCGTTCACCACTCTGGACATCAACGCAGATATCAGCCGTGGACAGTCTCGGAGCACGGCACTTTTCGAGCTTGCAACATTGTAAGTATGATTGTTGCCAACTGACAGATGTATGCAGTCGTACTGAGGAACGTTTCGAGAGAACATCTCTATTCCCACAATGTGCTATTTCGCAACCCCAGGTGTTTTTTTTTTAATTCTTTATTCTCACGATGGCACCATCGCCAATAAGAGATAAATTGATGAGAAGGTGAGATTGTGGGTTAAACAGTGTTGTTTGTACCATTGATTCCTCTGGTTTATCCTGGTTGGGAGTTGGACGTTCTGAGCACGTGTGGCACGTGTCCATACTACCGGGGTAGGATGAAAAGTTCGGCTTCAACGGGGGCGGGGTTTCAAAGATGAAATGTTCAGCTCCAACGGGGTTGGTGGTCAAGGATGAAATGGAGGGCCGTGGCAGTCGGTCAACAATGGTGGTTTATGGTGGTTGTGGACTTGAATGCTCGGCGCGGGTGACATAATGTTGTGTAGTTGTTACTTTACCTGACCAAGAGGAATGTCTTACAAATGCTAGTGTTTGTGTGTGTCAGTAAGAATGCATGAGTGTAATGGAATGTTAGTCCGCAAGGGGACATAACAATTTGGCGACGAAGATAAAAGACGAAGATGTCGCGATCGAAGCTTGAAATATTTGAAAAAGGTGATTTTCGTGAGTATGTAGAGAGACTCACGTTTTATTTTATCGCCAACAGTATTGGACAAGTCGCAGCTGGGGCAACCGCGGACCAGGAGAGAGCGGCGGACACGCAAAAGGCAGCTGTCCTGATCAGTCAACTCTCTGCTGAGAACTACTCGATTCTGAAGAGTCTTTGCCTGCCGGACAAACCAGCGCAGAAAACGTTTGAGGAACTCGGAGAATTGCTTTCAGAGCACTTCAAGCCTAATGTCAGTGTGTTGGCGGCGACTCATAGATTCCAGAGGATTTGTCAAAAGGATGGAGGGTCAGCAACACAGTATGCAGCTAGACTAAAGCAAGCAGCCATGGACTGTAAGTTTCAGGCGTATTTGGACAGGGCACTCCGAGACCAGTTTGTCAGTGGGTTGAAGTCGATGAGTGTTACGAAGGAGATATTGTCGAAAGCAAAGGAGACCTCAAGTTTGGCGGACATTGTGACGATGGCATCAGCCTATGAAACTGCATCGAGAGAGTCGGAACAATTGACGGCGCAGTCCGTCCACGCCGTTCGTTCGCGCCAGTCGACGAGCAAGCCAACTCCAACTTTCAAGTCGCACGACAAGAAATGTTTTCGGTGTGACAAGGCTGGTCACAAACCGGAAGAGTGCCGCTTCAAGAGTGTGAAGTGTCACGCGTGTGGTACGGTGGGTCACATCGAGAGAGCTTGCCGCAAGAAGAAGTCTGGACAAACCGTCCATCACATCGCGGAAGAAATTGGTGAGTTCGTTCCATGTGCTAGTAAACCCGATGTCACCATGTATAGTGTAAATGCAATGGGGCGACTACCGTACACTGTATCATTAGATGTAATGGGTACCACTATCCAAATGGAGATTGATACAGGAAGTGCTGTCACGATTCTCAGCAGCGCAGATTTCTTGCAATGCAATGGTGTGCTGAGTAACCTGATGGAATCCAGTATCAACCTTGTGTCCTACTCTGGAGATGTGATTAATTGTCTCGGGGAAGCGGAAATGGAGTTCCGAATGGGCACACAATTGCACACACTATTGGTGAGGGTTACAAATGGAAACCGTCCATCTATTCTGGGCAGAGATGCAATGGCTTTGTTCAAACTCCCCTGGAAATCAATTTTCGAAGTGCACCAGGTCGAAAAGTCTGGCGCTAAATTCATTGAGAAATACCCAGGGTTGTTCGACACCTCAGAAGTGGGAAAGGTGAAAGGCGTGCAGGTGAAATTGCATGTGTCTGATGAGAGCCCTGTTTACCGAAAGGCAAGGCCGGTACCACTGTCAATTCGGGAGAGCTATGTTGAGGCTCTGAATAAATTGGAAGCAGATGGTATAATCGAGAAAGTCACGCATTCAGAATGGGCCTCCCCCACTGTCACGGTAGAGAAATCAGGAGGTGGGTTGAGAATCTGTGGTGACTACAGTGGCACTATCAATCTGCATTCTAAATGCGAGCAATACCCGCTACCCACTCTTGAGGAGCTATTGCACAAATTAGGCCCGGGGTCTAAATTCACGAAGCTGGATTTGTCGCAAGCCTACCACCAGCTAGAGATAGCACCTGAATGTCGGAAGTACACCACGATCAATACCATGCAGGGGTTGTATCAGTACAAACGACTCCCATTTGGTTTTCACAGCGCCGTATCTATTTTCCAACGGGTAATGGAAGAAACCCTTAGCGATTTGCCAGGATGCGGGGGCTACATCGACGATGTGTTGTGTACTGGTCGTGATGAGGAGATCCATGAGAAAAATGTGGATCAAGTGCTATCTTGCCTAAATGAGAAAGGATTCAAGCTCAATCCTAAGAAGTTCAGCTACATGGCGGATAAGCTAACGTACCTCGGTCATCAGGTAACCACGCAGGGAATCGCACCCTCGCCTGATCGAGTGAATGCCTTGAAAGTCGCAAAGCCGCCTAACAACGTGAATGAATTGTACTCTTTTCTGGGTGCGGCCAATTTTCAACGGAAATTTGTACCTCGGTTCGCAGAGATTGCTGCACCACTGTACAACCTGCTCAGGAAAGAAATGAAATGGCAATGGAGCAAGGCAGAGGAAGATGCATTCCAGGCCTTGAAAGATGCAATGTGTGAGCATACGCTATTAGCACACTACGATGTCAAGAAGCCAGTCACACTCCAGGTGGACGCTTCTCCAATGGGCCTAGGTGCCGTACTATTGCAAAGGCAAACGAATGGTGATGTTTTGCCGGTTGCTTACGTGTCAAGGAAATTGACACCGGCTGAATCCGCGTTATGCACAAATCGAACGGGAAGCCGTAGCTGTGGTTTTCGGTGTTACGAAGTTCCAGAAATACTTGCTAGGGCGCCACTTCACGCTTCAAACCGACCATCAACCACTATTGAAGTTACTGGGAAACAACGAACCAGTTCCTACACTTGCATCAGCTCGCATCAAGAAATGGGCACTAATGCTAGCTGGCTATGATTATGAGATCAAGTATTTGCCAGGCAAGGAAAATGTCTACGCGGATTTCCTGTCTAGGCAACCATGTGAGAATATCAGTCCGTCTGCAGAGGAAATGGTTACGGTTCGTGTCTTGCTAGTGGAGGAAGATACAATAATCAAAGCAGAAGTAGTGAAATCGGAAACAGCTCGTGACCCTGAGCTATCTAAGGTGCTCTACTATGTGGTGAATGGTTGGCCTAGCTCAGTACCCCAATCGTTTCGGTCTTACCACAATAAGAGGGATGAGCTGTCTGCGGAAGATGGTATCCTATTGTGGGGACAACGAGTTGTCATACCCAAATCACTAAGAATGGTGTTGCTACGTGATTTGCACACGGAGCACTTTGGCATGGTCAAAACCAAGCAAATGGCACGACGGTACTTATGGTGGCCAAATGTGGATCAAGAGATTGAAATGTTGGTCAAGGCATGTGCTCAATGCCAAGAAAGTGCGAAATGTCCACCTGCCAAGTCGGGAACCTGGTCATGGCCAAACGGTCCTTGGAAACGGGTGCATATCGACTTTGCAGGACCATTCATGGGCAAGATGTTCCTGGTTGTGGTGGATGCATACACAAAGTATCTGGATGTAATTGCAATGTCTAATGCCACGTCTGCAACCACTATTGCGGCTCTGCGGCACGTGTTCTCTGTGTTTGGTCTGCCGGAGCATCTTGTTTCAGATAATGGAACCCAATTCACGAGCGAGGAATTCAAGGCTTTCCTCCGTGCCAACGACATTGTGCACACCCTGACGGCTCCAGGCCATCCGGCTACGAATGGACTTGCTGAGCGCTATGTGGGTGTGTTTAAGCAGAAGTTGAAGGAAATGGGTGCAACGAGCGAACCACTGCAAGCTCGGCTCGACAGGTTTCTGCTAACGTACCGCACGACACCCAACCATGCCGGCAGAACACCTGCGGAGATGATGTTTGGACGCCAGCCACGCACGCGGCTCAGTGCTCTGCGTCCCTCGCAGGTACGTCAACAAGCAAAGGCTTATGAGGACGGCAATCGCGTCAAGCCAGCGTTCACAGAGAGTGACTCTGTGTTTGCGCTCAATTTCGGCAAAGGTAATCGTTGGGTCCCGGGACGAATTGTGCGTGTCCTCAGTGACTACAACTATGAAGTGCAAGTGGGTGATGTGTTGTGGAAGCGTCACCGAGATCAGTTGCGTCTACGGTCAGTTCCGGCAAGCTTGAGTGCATCGCTGCCAGAACCACTGTTGGATACAATCGATCAGACGTCGCCGTCACCAGTGCTGTCAGACGTAGGAGAGTCGTCACTGTCCAGTGATTTTCCGGCTAGCGTCTCGCCACAGTCTGCTACTGTACAAGTTGAGGCGGATCCTCCTTGTGAGCAGTCTGCTCCTGAAGTTGGTTTACCACAGGTCGAGAATACTCCCTGTGAAACCACTGTTAGACGTTCGTCTCGGCGTAGTGTTCGTCCGGATAGACTGATTGAACAGTTTTGAGCCGTTCCCTGATATGTCATTGCTGGACTGTTTAGCGAACTAGTAATTATTACCATGTACAATAGTGTGCAAGATCCTTGGTATTGCTAATATTGACTGACGGATTCCTGCGTCAGATTATGTTATTGTAGTGGTGTGTCAAAGTTTAAGAATTCACGTACGGTGGATTGATGAACTTATTTTATGTGTTGCTTCAACGATTTTGAGGTATTTAATTGTGGTAGAATATTCCCTGGAACATTCTTGAAAGGGGGCAGTTGTTGTGTATGCAAGTTAGTCATTATATATCTACTACACCGTTTGCTACTGATTGCGCATGCTCGCATATGATTGTCGTTGTTACTTTACCTGACCAAGAGGAATGTCTTACAAATGCTAGTGTTTGTGTGTGTCAGTAAGAATGCATGAGTGTAATGGAATGTTAGTCCGCAAGGGGACATAACACATAACTACTTCAAAATTGTCAGACAAATTTGGATTTACAACGAGATGCAATCTACTCATAAAATGAATCGTTTTTCGTACCATTATCCTAAAAATGATGAAGTATATGTACAGCGTTTTGTATCTAAACTCTTCATATTCTCCATAAGGGGCCATCCGTAAGTACCGATATTTATTTTGAAACGAAAATTAGTCATTTCTCTTCCACCCCCACCCCCCTGAGAAACGAACACATACAAATGGTACATAGCATCAAGAGTATATAACCCCCCAGGAGTGTGTGCAACGCCTGATCCAGCTCTGCATAGGGTCTTGGTCGAGTGTAATCGGATCTTCTGATGTCATGCGTACACTCCACACCAGCGTAAGGCCGGTCTCCAGGCAGGGTGTCGTTGCTTTTGATCCGAGAGTACCCACGACTCCCCAGGTTCCCCTCAGATGTGTACGGTATTATGACGCAAAGATCCGATTACGCTCGACCAAGACCCTATGCAGAGCTGGATCAGGCGTTGCACACTCTGGGGGGTTATGTACTCTTGATAGCATCAATATATTTGCCCATTTTTTGTACATCTATGCACTGGTACATACATGCACTGGTACATACATGTGCATTGTATGTTTTACAAATATGGAGAACATATCAGTAGGGTTTTTTGACAATTTCTTTTAACCGGCACTTTCGGGTTCTCCACCGTCTCCGTGAAAACAACCAACAGCATGAAGGTCTGCGTTCCGGCTCTCCGCCTTCTCCGCAACCAAAACAACTAGAGGGAAAACATAATAGTGCATAGTTTCACAAAGGTATGTCTCGTCATTGCCATTCGCTGAACTTGAAAGTAGGTGCATGTGTGCATGTATACAGTATAGTGCAGAAGAGGCAAAACAGGTCCAGAGCTTTCAAGCTGATGAACGCAGAACATTATTCGTACTTCGAAGTACAGACTTGTAAAGAAAATACTAGTAAAACCGGCAGGTATAGAATGGTATAGAATGCAGAATCACTTCTTCTTCGGTTGGCCACGGGCACTCCTGTGGCCGGCTTTACCCTTGTGTTTCAACAGCGCATAGTACGCGGAGAAAGCAAGCTTACAGCGCTCTGCACCATCACCATACCCACACAGATGCTGCTTGGGTGCATTGGTGGCGGGTGCATTGGTGGCGGGTGTGGCATCATGCGTCAGCTTCTTGTGCCGTGCCCAGTCGGCTGCTGACTGCAAGACATACTGGCAACGATCACATGAAAGCGGCACCTCTGATGACTTATCGCGTGGTAGAAAAGCTTCAGGCTTTTCTGCAGGCTGGCCGAGGGCAGTTGCCCCTGCACCCTCTGCAGAAAGGTCTTGAAATGCCCCGGGTGGTTAGGATCAGGAGTGGGCATGAAGATTATTCCACCAGATGAGTGCACCGGACTCATAGCCTTCTCACTGCGGACTGGCTGGTGAGTGCAGTGGCTGCACTTCACAAAAGCCAAGAAGTGACTGCGTCGATCAATGTGTTTCATCATTAGCCTGTATTCCTTCCTGGCTGCAATCAGGCTGGGATCAGCCTTCAGTGCTGTCAAGCTTGCAGGGTTGAAACTCGCCGTGGCATCCTGCTGACTTGCCTCTTCCTGCTTGCTTTCCCCGAAACACGACACGACTACTGGGAGCACAGGATACCCATCAAACTCTTTCCCTGCCCAGTGACTGCAGACTGTCTCCATGTCCGCGTCGTGGATTACAGATTCCTTTCGAAGCACATCGTCATTAGAGAGCCCTGTCTGCTGTGACGATGGTTTGTCATTTCCGTGAAGCGTGGCAGAAAGGACAACTCCAGTCAGGTCATTGCTGCGCGGGCTCCAGGCATGCTCGATCGGGTTGTACCGACTGTGGTAGGGCGAGTAGCTGACAGCACTAGGTGTAGATCTGCATCAGCCAACAGGGAGTCGCGTTTCATGACCCAATGAAGGATATCGATCAATGGAATCAACTGAGCTGATGGAGTGATGCCGGTGCAGTAGTACAGGTACGACGACCAGAGAGTCGCGTTTCACGACTTCGTGGAGTACATCGCGCGTATCGATCACCCCATCAGGCCGAGTCAACCGAGCTGAGGCCGTTTTATGGCAGTGCAGAGTATGTCTAGTCCACGCCACTGCATGCACAGTCAGTATCAGTGCACGTTGCAGCTACAACCAGTACGTGACTGGTTCACACCTACATGTAGGCTAGATATGGTCAACAACACAGCGTAGCCGACGGCTAGAACTATCGACAAACTGGGCTGGTGATCTACCGTACTCATTATAGTGCAGTCATGCATGCGCGCGCTGGCCGTGCTCACACGTCCATGTACAAACTGGACATGGATATTTTTCGAGAAACGAAGAAACGAACAGGCACTGAACCCCCTCTTCCCCCCCCCCCCCCCCCCGCCATACGACTTGTTTTCATTTCTAAATAAATATCGGTATTTACGGATGGCCCCTATATAAATCCACTCTAATCTTTTCTGTTTTTACAGGAGTTTCAGTGACTGGAACTTGACCCGGCATGTTCCGAAGCCAGCAGTGTCACACAGCAGCGCTATCAGTCAGGACAGCACTGCTAACAGCGCAAGCCTGCACAACCCCATCGACAGCAGACCTTCCCGGTAGGACATTCTAAGACAGCATTCAGTCCACTTGATAGCCCGCATTATTTCTAACAAAGAAAGGGAACAAGGAACTACTGAGGTGTTGGGTTTTTCATGGTTCATGTTCGGTGAGCTTCTCCTCCAGTTAAACTTTGCATCTTTAGAGCCAAGCAAGTTCTGTGGTATGTTGCTATGCATCCTTGAATCTTGGTTTGACCGTGTTGTATAATGGTCTTGCCAGTACAGTCAGACCTCGCATAACCGCACACATCCGCTTTCCACAAAAATATCCGGATCGGCGAGGGAACCGGATAATCGAACACACATACTGTATGTATGCATGGCATATGCTGTAAATCGGTAACCAACGATTTTCTTCCGGATGGCGAGGGATCCGGATAAAAGAGGACCGGATAAGCGAGGTCTGACTGTATTGTCATCGACATGCATGTACATACGCCTTCACAGCTGAGCCTTTCAGCTTGTCTTGGTTGCGCTCACCTCCCCCTCCTATGTTATCTTATGCAGTGGAACCTGTCTAAGGTGACCACTCAAGGGACGAGAAAAAGCGGTCACCTCGGCCAGGTGGTATTCTTACCCAGGTTCAGGGGTTACGTGAACATATTCACTCACTATACGCGTATTCCCAATGCATCACAACGGTTGAGCCACGCGCGTGGTTGTGATGAGTTGGGAATGCAATAAATTGGAAATATGGCCGAAAGCTCTGTCGCAATATTTAGTACTATACATGTACATGCGATATATATTATCATTTTGATCGGAGCATCATACTGCACACACCTGTGCTGCTATCAAGACTACTCTCGTCATGTGAATACTCATCGCCGGTCACAGGAGACTTTGGAAGAGAGAGATCCTGTCGTCTTCGAAATAAGCGTGAACGGGTGAGTCAGCGCCGGTCACAGGAAACGTCGCAACAAGCATCCCGTCGACTCCAGAACGCCCGTGATCGGCAGAGGAAGCGTCGGTCACAGGAAACGTCGGAAGAGACATTCCTACAATGTTTGCATCACTCATCATCCATGTTATTACAATTAATCAATCAATCAAAAAAAAACATTTCCATTCGTTCCGATAATCATGCATCATAAGCTAGGCAAAAAAAGCATAGCGTAGGGTCCTGAGCTTTCAAGCTCTCTCGTCCTGTCCGAGAGCCTATTCATTATTCACCATCAGGGGCATCACCGACCGAAGGCAGTGATGTGGGGGGTCGGGGGTGTCCCCGGGGGAAAAATCGAATTTTTCGGCCAGCAGGGCGCGTTTTATCGCTCTTTTGCTGCTTTTTTTCCGGATGAATTGGGCAGACAATCCAGGAGGAAAAGTGGTACGACCATGGTCGTGTACTGGTCTCACTGTGTGTGACGTCCCTGATAGCATACTGTAAAAGCCATATGTCGTACGAAGTGCTAACTCTAACGAGTTAACGAGGAGAAATCTGTCGTTAAAATAGAAATCCTTATACAGAAATCGATACATGTACTGTTCTATTGAGCGTTGAGAATGCGTGAGAATCGTTACCTTTTGTTCACGTAAACTAGTCAATTTTGGGAAATCGTTATATATGCGCCTCGTTAGAATAATGGCTTTTACGGTAATGCATGCACTCTCATGCCTTCTCTGTTCTGCATAGTTTGAAATTTCTCGGGCAATTTCGACGAAGCAGGCACGGACGCAGCGCGGTTGCTGCTGGCAGCTTGACAGGCAGCAGGGGTAGCAGCAGCAGCAATACCAACCCAATCAGCGTTACCGGAACTCAGTGAGATCATCCACAACATTACATGATGTTTTCATTCTTTGGATGCCGTCCACCTTGGACAACTTTGCATGCTCTTTTTCCATTATTTGGCTGCCGCACACCTAAGACAGCGTTCTTGCCAGGGGTGCAATAAAAGTGACACGCATCTATTGGAAAACATGTTATTCTCGGTGCAACTTTAGTTTATTTCGGCAGAAAAACAGGCATCAAAATGTTGATATATGTAACACGCAAGACACTAGAGTATGCACTGTATGTGAAAGGGAAAGCTGGCCACGTAATTCTACATTCCACCTGACACAGACGCGCGAATGGGAGAGGGGTAGCCATCTGGGTGAAGTCGTCACTCCCCTCCATGCTCATCCCTGAACTTATCTCCCCTGCACAGGAGATCAGCTGGGTTTCCCTCCAGCTGGCCCCAGGCCACCGCACTGCTCTGGGAGCAGTCTATCGGCCGGGGTCCTGTGCCCCTGGAGATCTTACCCTAGTCGATCATCCCGACACCGTCTTCCCCGCAGTTAGACGCCGGGCTCCCACATTATTCTATCTGGCAATTGGTTGTTGTTTGTTAATTCAGAGTCGAGGAACAAACAGGCAAATTTGCCTTGTTGCATGATATAATTCAACATGCATAAACGGGCTTGGCTGAACAGCTCGAAAACTACGCCTGAAGGCGCTGTTCTCGAGGATACCTGCGCTACCCATCTTGTTTTGCAGCATGGCACACTACCGACCCGTGGCGAAAAAACCCTAGACCCCATAATATCAATGTTCACGTCCCCCAGTAACTCCACATACTCTTCCTCCCCTCGGTTGATCTGACAATGCAGTTGTACTGTCAGACTTCTCTTCTGTGCTCCCAAAACATGAGCCTCCAGCAAATCAAACTGGATTTCGCTACAATAGGGCGGACTGGAATCGCTGCAACAGGGCAGACTGGAATCTCTGCAACAGGGCGCACTGGAATCGCCTCAGGGCATACTTTTGCAACGTTGACTGGGGCGATATCACTACACAGGACCCAGACACTTACTGTGAGCAGGCCGCCACTATGAGAACAGCAGCTGTTGCGCAGTTTTTCACAAAGTTCTGGAAACAAGGCATTCCAATCCGGTTTGTTGGACGCCCCATTGAACCCAGACCATGAAGGAGCGTAAGAAGCGCTGGCACGACTGGAGAAAACACCCTTATGACCCAGCACTTCAGCAGGTATTCACCAACTCCATGACTGTGTCGATCGCCACCCAGTTCCTATCGCGACGTGCAAAGGAGGACAGCCTTCGCCGCACCCTCTCCACTAGGCCCCTCAGAGACAAACAGGTGTGGACGAAGTTGAGGAACGCTGCTGGCAACCGCACACAGACCGAAATTCCTGTAATTGTTGACCCTGGTAGGCTTGTGTGGGCAACGAGCTCAGAGAAGCCAGAGGCATTTGCTCGCTTCTTCTCGAAGAAATCGAGCATTCTGGTCCGGACCTTGCGGAGGCCACAAACATTTTTATGCCAAAAATGCCCAGGCCAAAATAACCAAAAACGAATATACGCTGAATATCTGTTGACTTACATAGGGCGATTATCTGGGAGTTTGATGATGCCAGCTTCCTGCCCTTGTCTGTTTCCAGTAGCTTCAACCCGAAACAGACTTCCACGGGCAGGCTTCATACTTCCCGCAAAATGTATAGCAACAAAAATGTGGCCACCTCTGCTGTGGGTCATCGCGACCGGCATCACAATCAGCTAATAGAGAAAAAACAATACGCATCACAGAGCGCGTTCCCACTCAAAGTTCTTCGTGTTATAATTGGTTTCTGTTCGCACTTATCCCTTGATACTCAGAAAAAGGACACACACCTCGGGCTCTTTACGAACATCTGGAAAGTTTTCAGTTTCGCTAGTATACCTTACCGTCAGGTGAAACACAGTTTGAAAGTCGGATGTACAGCCAATATTAAATGTGGAAAGGAAGCTCTCTAGTTACTCGTATCCATATGACATTGTCCTTTTCCTTTCTACATGGAGCACGGTTCATTGTTCATGTGATTTTGCCTGTGTTTCACCTGACGATAAGGCTTCAAAGTATACTAGTGAAACCGAAAACTTTATTTTATTTTATTTTTTTACTATTGAACACTCACTGCATGATGAACTAAAATGAGGAGGAGAACTCGACACAGTTCCAAGATGTTTGTAAAGAGCCTGAAGTGTGTCCCTTTTCTGAGTATTATTGAGTTCTTGTCTCAAAGGAAACTGTTCGCACTTGTCCCTTACATGGGCATTTTGCCACTCATTCCCACTACTCGTCACGCGAAATAACGCATCTATGAGCAGGGGCGTCGGACACGGTACGGTCATCGCGGTATTGGCCGTACTACTATTTTCCCCAGTTACCCCATGAATCAATAAAATTCACTCATTTGGGCTCTACATCTCCACCACTCCCCCGCGAGTAAATCGTACTTCAGATGGCTGACCGTACTACACTAAATTACCTTCCGACGCCGCTGATGAGCGACATTCACGGAACCTGCTGGGAGAGTACGCGTGTACTCGAGTCTCATCCTGAGCACGTTTTTTATTCTTTTTTTCAGCTCCAGTATAGCCGTATTTTTCATTGCAAAGCCGTCCTCGATTGTCGTGTTCGTTGTTCAAACGAAGTGGACATTCAATCCAGAAGGCAGAGGACATAAGAGCCTGATTGGAGTTTCTCGTGGCATAGGACAGACGGCCGTACAGAGACACTTTGCGATTTTCTGAATAAAAAATACCGTACGCACGAAGTAGAGTTCAATATGTGCGATATCAAAATTGTTCATGATCTACCACATCGAGCAGAACGGGATTCAATCATGAGCTTACCGACGTGTAGGCTGCCGACCTGACTCGACAAATGATCCCTGGTTTCACCAGACGCCAGAAGTCGGAAACCATGTCCTTTGCCGCGACGTCCATCTCCAAAAAGAATTCCATCTTCGTCCAACAAGGCTTTAAATACTCAATATCCAACCGAGCTTTGCCGTCTCACGTTTTCTCAGATGGAATCATTTTTTTGTTGTAGCAGTTGCAGGGCAGATCCCCGCCACTACTTTCGCTTCACAGCATGCCTGGAACAAACCATATCGAGGTTGCAAGCTACCCCTCTCAGCAAGAAATTCAAAATTTCAAAGGTGGAAGGTGAACTATGAAGAGAATTTCAAAATGTAAGGTTGGCCGCTCGATCATTCAACCTACATCATTCACACTTTGCAGGATGGTTCTGACCTACATGCTAGGCATGGAACCACAGGGTCTGATGTCATAGCTGATACACAAAGTCACACACACACACACACAGCACATTCGTGTTCACAGATACTAAATTTGTGGACGTCGTCATCTTCTTCCCGCTAGTCTCAAATGTACTACGACGTGCTATTTCACGTGACGTCCCGTACTATGCGGATTTGATGTCATTGCATATTATATTCTCCTCTATTGACGTTCAATTCATGAAATGATGTCATTGGCTCTGCCTCCGCCTGGAACGGGGAAAAGCGACGAGCATGCAAAATATTTTACTCCCCCCCCCCCTCTCCCTCGTCCAATGCTCTCTGCTCAGTGATCGTCTTGTTTGTCTTTGTGTTTCCAACTGACAGGTCTGACAGCAAGGACAGCACGCGGGAACTTAACCTGGTTTTGGCTAACTTCCTCAGACCAATGAGACTGTAAGACCAATGACAATGAGACTGTAAGATGCACACATGTATACAGTATTTTCCGTAGTATAAGCCGCACCACCACCCCCGTCCCGCACCACCACCCCGTCCCGCACCACCCCCGTCCCGCACCACCCCCGTCCCGCACCACCCCCGTTCCGCACCGCCCCCGTCCCTCCCCACCCCGTCCCGCACCACCCCCGTCCGGCACCACCCCCGTCCCGCACCACCCCCGTCCCTATCCCACCCCTGTCCCGCACCATCCCGTCACTCCCCACCCCCATCCCTCCCCACTCTCGTCCCTCCCCACCCCCTTTGCCACGAAATACAGACATCTACCCGATTGGACTCGGATGGAGAGCCAAGGGTAAATTTATAGTAAAGAAAAAAGGAACAAGAAACTACAAGTTACGCTATAATGTCCACTAACACCACCAGTTACTAAACAATCAGCTCATACCATTACATTACACGACACGTTATTTCTATTACTTAGAACCTTCCAAGTTGGAAGGCTGTTGGAGTGCGTATCATAGATGTGCTAGAGCTGTTAGCCAGTTAGTTGTGGAACGTCAGTACCGTCGGTCAGTGTCGTGCAATGTTATCGCATGAGCTGATTGTTTAGTAACTGGTGGTGTTAGTGGACATTATAACGTAACTTGTAGTTAATTGGTCCTTTTTTTTTCTTTACTATTAATCTACCCGATTTATCACCATTAATTTGATCATTGGATTATAAGCCATACCTCCTGCCGTGGGGGAGATTTTTGGAGTGTTCAAAGTGCAACTTAGAGTCCCGAACAATACGGTACTCCATTCTGCTGGTGTTAGTTTGAGAAACCAGATAGTGACACAGTGTGTGCGATTGCAAGTTTGATCTTTGCCCGTTTAACATCACAAGTCATTGTACTTACGGCAGGGCCGGGGTGCTTACAGGAGTACCAGGGCATTATACAGAAGGGCCAGGGTATTCCGGTAATACAGAAGGGCCAGGGTATTCCGGT